CGAGTTCGATCCCCGGCAACAGCGCCAAAAACTATGGTGGGGTCGTCACCACTTAGCTTAAGAGAGTACAATTTAGGTGAGAGCCAAGTTTTACATTTATAGAAGCCACTACTACCTTCACTAAAAATATAGTTAGGGAGAGTAGGGATCGTCCCAAGGGATTGATGTCGTATTTGTTGTGAAATCAAGATTAGGGCTAGTAGGTCAAATGATCAAACAAGAGTTGGTTGGTTAATATAAGCTAGAGAGCAATTTAAACTTAAAGTAAAAACAATAGAATGCAATAGAGAGTAAGTAAGAGAGAGAAGAAATCTTGGGGTTTAGAGATCACCACTAAGCAAAGCTTTTTTACACCCTTAACAAATGATTAATAAGAGAAACATGTGTTAAAACATTGGTGTGTGTGTGTTTAGTTGATTCAATTAGCAAGGATGACCAATTAAGTATATATTGTCTAAGCAACATGGTGAAAAGCACAAAATATCAAAGTAAGCCATTAATCATTTCATTAAGCTCACAATCCAAACATACCACAAGGTTAGAGACATATGCTACTTGCATTCAAAAGCATGGAACATCAAACAACAAGTATGGATTGTCCTCCCATCTAATAACTACACTACAACTACACTACAATTAAGCTATTAGTATGAAATTAAATTGATTAAACTAAGGGAGAGGCAAAATCCATCAAGAGATAAGTATGAACCATCAAGCAAATGACAAGAGCATTCCATTAAGCACTTATGTTTTAACAATCTCTAAATCTATAGTATCAATACATATAAACATGCATCAATAACTCAAAATCTAGAGACAAGCACATGAGCATCAATTTTAACATACATAGACATATGGATAGAATAAAATGATCAATTGGAAGTATTAAACCATATAAATCATTGAATAAACAATATCTATATATATCAAAATGTCAAAACATGTATTACAACACAAATCCCTCAATAATACACAAAATCAAGATGTAAAAAGCATGCTTAGGGCTAACTCTAGCCCCAAGAGGATGTCTAGCCACTCATGGTGGTGCTCCTCCAACCCTCAAGGGCAAGCTCTATGGAAGAAATCTGCTCCTTGGTTGATAAAGAACCTCCAATGGTGTCTCTAGCCTCCCCCTCCTTTGCTTCCTCACTAAGAATTCTCTCTCTAGATGAATGTTACAATCTATGATATTCTATGATATGATATGATATAAAAAGTAATCCTTATCCTTATATAGGTAGGTCAAATAACACCCAAAATGAGCTGGGGTCGTACAGCAAATATTCCCCAATGATTGGATAAAGGATAACTTTTTGTGAGCTGAAAATTTAACTTTTTCGCATTGGAGGAAGTTCGATCGATCTAACCTTGACCTTGGATCAATCGAACATGACTGAGATCTATTGAACTAAGGATGGATCGATCCAACTTGTGGTGCCTTTTTGGATAAAAACAAATCTGAGATATTTTGGAGATATTTTTGGGAAAAGGACAAAAGCGGTTGGTAAGGTGGTACAGCTGGATAAGATTAATCATTTGGATAAGGACAAGAATATTTGATCGATCAGAGAAGGAAGTTGGATCGATCGAACTTTGAGATCTCTGAATGGCTTGGATCTATCTTTGAAGTGCTGAAATCGATCACGTTGGATCAATCGAACTTTTCTCTGAGATCGATCGAAGATGCTGAATTTCACCCTTGGCTTCCTTTTGCTCTACTTTGCTCCACTTTGCTCCTCTTCTTTGATTCATCTCAGAATTGCTTCCTTTTTGCTCTTATTTAGTTGAGTTAGCTTATTTTAGGGATAAGTGCCTGAAAATGGAAATAACACGAAATCAATACAAAACGGTAAAGTAAGATAGATAAAGGTCCTAGAATACCTAAGCTTAAGGAGTTTAAATGCGCACTTTTCAGCGCTCATCAGTATACAAAAGGAAAATAATTTATTAATTACTTTATGCTAATTTTAGTATGAATATTTAATCTGATGTATATATTATATATTTATATAATAAGGATACACATAAATTTTATACATATCATGTTCTAAGTTACCTTTTAATATTATGGTAACTTAAGTATTATTAAATAATCTGTTAATAAATAATCTGATGTATATATTTTATTTATTTAATAAGGATGTACATAGATTATAGACGTAACATATATTAAGTTACCTTTTCAATATTTTAATTTTAATTTTCTTTTATTTATTAAGTTGACTTGGATTGGAAAAAAGAATAGGGTTTTTATTTAGCCTATAAATATACAACTACAGGTTTGTAAAAGGGGTATAGAAAGATATCACGTAATATATTTTAGAGATAGAGAGTTGAGAGAGAAAGAGGAAGAGGAAGGAATGAGGAGAAGAATCTTTAGAGAATGAGATCAAGGAAGAAGAAGCTTAACTTTCGATCCGAAAGTTTAAGGCAAGTTCTTCTTCTATCTCTCTCCCTTAGATTTGTGTTTCTATACATGCCTAGATTCCAGGATTTTAAACACATAAAACTAAATAATTATGTATGTTTAATTGGATTAGAACATAGATTTTATGAAATTTGTTCTTGTTTTATGAATTGAAAAATTCATGGATTTTATTTGATTCCTTTATGAATTTTTACATGTTTAAGTGATGTATTTTCATATTTGTGGATTGATAGAACCTAGAAACATGTCTTAAAATCCTTAAAACAGTAAAGAATAAATTTACAGTAGGGTTTCTAAGCAGATTCAAGTAACAGTGCTCAATCCGCTGTTATAGTGCTCAAGCCTGGAATGTAAAGCTCGAGCTTGAAAAGAAAAGCTCAAGCAATTAGGTGAAAAGCTCGAGCCTGAAAAGAAAAGCTCAAGCAATTGGATGAAAAGCTCGAGCCTGAAAGGAAAAGCTTAAGCAAATAGGTGAAAAGCTCGAGCCTGAAACAGGAAGCTCGAGCAATTAGGACAAAAGCTTAAGCCTTACCTAGGGAAGTTTCGTAAACAGCGTTAAATTAATTTCAATTGATTTTGAGGGGTCCTGGTCATTAAATAAGGATTAGGTATGAGTTTAAACAAATTCTAAACAGACTTAAATGCAACAATGCATGCATTTTGATTTCTTTAAGGAATGAATGGATTTAATTTTTTAAAATTGGTCTAACAATTGAGATTAAATATATAGCATGAATTGGAATGCTTACTTGACTGTATATTAAAATATCAGCATATTTAAGATTCGGTTTGTGTAGGATATGATATGGGAAGCTTAAATAAATTATAAGTCATTCATGTTCTGTAGTAGCATGACATTTTGTTATTATATTTATTTCTGGATTATTTGATGCATTTCCTTAATTGTTACATCATCTATTGGATTGTGTGAATGTAGTGCACCGATATGGGATAGTGGCATTCTAGGGACGGATTAACTTATTAGTTAAGTCCTACCGATTTTATGTAAAGGGATAGATTAACCAATAGAATGTTAAGTCCTACCTATATTTAAGTCAGGTCAACTGAATAAGTTGAATGACTTATAGATGATTAATTATAGTTGGATATGATGGATTTTATATATATGATTATGGTACCATGATATGAGCTTGAGTCTCAGGATCATAATTAGGGTGCGTATATTGCTAAGGATATGTAGCTAGATATAGTGTAGTTGTTTCCATGGTAGGTCTAAGTACTCATGCCCACTTTATGTGCGATTTGCATGTTACCTATTATTCAGGTTGAGACAACCTTATAGTCTAATGAGGTTCCTATAGTGTGTATTTATATATATATATATATATATATATATATATATATATATATATATATACAGACTACTAGTTATTGTTAGATTGATTAGGATGTATACGTGTATCGGATCTCTGCTTGGACTGTAGTAGAGTAGAACTTGTTTGTGGGCCTGACCCACTATTATTTTTCAGGAGTTCGTCAAGAGTAGAGGTTGTTCATGCTGAGCAGGGATCAGTTTACTTTATTCTTTCGCTTCTATTTAGGAGATTTGTTTATGATTCAGTTTTCAAATGTAAACTTTATTCAGTTTGGTTTTTTCTAGGGGTCCACATAGTATGGATTCCCGAGTTGTATTATGTTGGAGAATTAATTGTATTAGAATGATTTATTAATTAATGAAAATTTATTTTGAGGCTTAATTATTAGATTATTATTTTAGTTTCTTTTTACATTTTATTTATTCTTAGTTATCATATTTATATTCTGTGTTCATTTATTACCAATTTGTTTTTGATATTTGCGGGTATTTATTTGTGGGCTTGGCCAACCCGCATTCAAAAATTCGGAGGTATCACAATTTTATACTAAAATTATATAATAATTAAATTTTACTTTATATTTAATAAAGTTATAAATAATGTATTGATGAAAACATTATTTAAAAACACTCTTTACTAAACATATTTCATGTTTTTGTTTCAGTAATTTTGGTTACATTTTCACTCTGCCAGACATGTTTTGTTCTCATATTTCTTGAAACGAAATACCTTACCAAACATGTTCTACTATATTTCTGTTTTAAAATTCTCACTGTAAATTTTTATCGCCAAACATATTCTGTTCTCGTCTCAGAACAAAATATGACAAAACATTTATTCTGTTTTAAGCTAAAACAAAACGCCAGGAACATAAAGTATACCAAACGGCCTTGAGACTCTAGTGAGTATACAGGAGTGAGCAAGGTCACCCACCCCCCGGCGGCGGCGTCTAAGCGTCAACTACTAGTCCATCGGTCTGTTTTTTTTTTCTTTCGTTTTTTTTTTATTATCGATTTTAAAGGTTGAAAGAATATTGAAGCGGTAAACCATACAGTCAAAACAACCAGTCTCATATGAATTAAACCAACAGCTAGCTAATCGTCCTCCTACCAAATTCTAGCTAGAGGTCATGAGGGTCACTCACTACCCATGATGATCAATTTACCATCGCATTAATTAATCTGAATATTTGGATTTCGTTAAGGACCGGCCAACTAGGTGGAGGTGGAGGTGGTGGTGGTGGTGGTGGTAGTGGCGGGTGGTATTACATGCGTACTAGCTGATCTATCAGCATGGGACTGGTGGTGTACTGGTACGATTTCGTGTGTTTCGGGATTGTGGGTGTGGCTTTCATTGGGTCCCTGTATGTGCTGTGGAAGAGGGAAGGCGGAGGAAAAGGTGATATTGAGAGAAGCATGTATGAGAGTCTCTTAATTGGTCGACCAGCAGAGAGCAATGCTACTAATTATCCAAGGCCAAGGGGACATGTGAGCTCCTCCCAACTCTGGACCAGTTGTTGGCGAGGGTTGCATCCACTCTGGCTTTTAGGGCTGCGTTTTGTGTCCTGTGTTGTCTTGGCCGGATTCTTGGCCGCCGACATCATCACCTACGACACTACCATTTTCGTTTACTACACCGAGTATGTATATATATATATATATATATATATTATAAGCCTTCTTAAATAATGAATTCTATCTTCTTGGAGAACTATTAACTGCTACTTGATTTACAATGAGCTTAGGGTGGCTTAATTGGGACCTTGGAATAGGAAATAATTGAGTCCCCAATTTCAATTCCTCAATTAAAATTATTTGGGATTTAATTATAATTCCAAATCCACCAATTTCATGGTTTGAATTCTAAATTAGAATTAGAGATTTCAATTTCTGTTATAGTCTAGTGCTATCTTCACTGCCTTTACGTTCAAACCCATAGATCTAGAGTTCAAATCCCTGTGGGACAAACTTGGGTGTGTGATCAGTTACTTGCGAAGAAATAAAAAGAAATCTACTTGGAATTTAATTATTAGTTACAACCATCAACGAACAACATACATATTTGTATTATTTTGTAGGTGAAAGAATTCTCCGTCAATATATTTTTCATATGTTTATCTCATATTTGTATTCTTGAACTTAGCTACAAAAATAAGATTACATAATGAAAGAGATGTAGTAGCCCTTTGTACATTGTGTGACGTGGATGTAGGCTTTATATTCTTGTGTTGTTTAATCTTCCTTTCTGTCTTCAATTTGATATTTAATAACATTTTCCCATATTCTATATGATTTCACCGGTCGAATTCTAGTTTTCTGTTTGTTTGATGCCAATAAGACCTTATTTTTTAGTTGAAATTCTGCCACTTACATTTATGTTCATTATTCTTAACTTTTATTCTGAAATGTCTGATTCTTGTGATACAATAATTCTGCAGGTGGACTTTCGCATTAGTAATCATTTATTTCGCGGTATGTCGAGCACCTAAAACCTAATTTAACTTTGTTTGCTATTTATGTAGTGTTTTGTTAGCTTGCTTTAGTTGTTTGGTGAATCTCATTGCAGAATCATATGCCTAATTAAAGTCCATGCATAAATGCATCAAACATAATATAAAACTAAGGGTCTGTTTTTGTGTTTTGAAGAAATATAATTAATTATTTAACAAATCTAAACCTGTTTTGCTCCTACATATACCATTTCTATTGATTGTAGATTGGGACCGTTGTATCTGCACATGGATGTGTGTTGTACTACTACTCAAGAAAACCTCCTTCTGATAATGGAGAAAGAGGAGAGTTTCTCAAAATGGATGTGGGAGAGAGTATTTCGACAAATGCTGCAACTTCCAGGGGAAAAAATTTCCGGGGCAGCATCAAGTTGCAAAGCCACTACTATGACGAAGAGGAGATGCGACAAAGAGCTGGTTTTTGGGGATACCTAATGCAAACTGCATATCAGGTTAGTCCATTAAGATTTGTTACTTTTGTTTCACTATTGATATGTGATTTGCTAGGACCACATCGTAATTTATGATTGTTGATAATCTTTTAGCCTTTTTTATTTGTGTTTTAGGCTGATATATACAGTTCCACTTTGTGTTTATGCGACCTGCACTTTTTATGGGTAGATTGACAGATGATGTATATGGCCTGAGCAGAGACATAAGCTTCAAAAATCGCATGGCGCTCAAGTTGTCGGCCCTAAAATACTTTTTAATATCCATATCACTTTACGAACAAGGACTGAGGAAAAAACCAATTGATAACTGTTTTTCAATATCTGCTGTAAGAGATTAGAAGTTTTCAAGAACAGAATTGTAAATCTTGTGGAATTTTCTCTTTGGTTTCTTCTTAACTATGATGAAGCAATTTCTTTTTTCTTCTTATTTTGGTTCTACTAAACATTATTGAGGCAAAACTTTTTGTATAATGCCTTTTTATATATTCCTCCATAGTGGGTTGGATTTAGTCTTAATCTTAAAGACATCTAGTGGTACACTGACTTGGTTCAAAACAATTTAAAAAGAAAGAAATAAAAATTAAACCCATAAATAAGTAGACTTTGTGATGTTAGAACCTTGAACAATGGCCCCATTCCAAAATATTTTGCTGCTGCGAACAATGTAGCTTCCTTTCTATGGCATTTTCCCCTTATAACAACTAAGAGAAGGGAGAGTTACACAGGGAACAGAAAAACAAGGAACATTTAGCTTTAATTTTCCGACTAGAAGTTCACCAGTTTTTTACTAACCAAAATTATGTAAACAACGTTTTTGCATCTCATGTGATTATGAATTTTGTTCTCTTGTTATCTACATCCAGCATGGGTCACTAGTAGAGGAGAAAGTAAACTAAGAATATAAAATAAAGGAAAGAAGAGATGAGATTTCAATTTGTACTTGGAATATTTATTTAGGCAGATAAAATGCAAAGAAAAGCAGAGGAGGAAATGTCTTGCCCCTTTGTAAAGTGCTTATACCTTCTGTTAATTTGTTGTACATCCACTTTCATGACTTCATCGCCAAATGTCTTATCATTTAAGAGCAATAGAATTGTGGGCATCGCGTCTTTTCTCTTCTTCTTTGCAAACGAAATAGAGGAAAGTTGGGAAGTTTAAAAATGATATTCTCTCCCCTTCTCTTCTTTCTTGCCAAACACACTAATACTATACGAGTGAGGCTTAATAATCATATTGTGAAGCAGTGTGGCTTAGTCCTCATCTGTGTCTTATGACTTGAGATGCAAAGGCTTAAGCCACAGGACCTCTTGTTAGTGCTTCACTCCGAGGTATGCATCCCTGAGTTTGGTTGAATCTAATCCCTTTCTTATGAATAGACTTGTGCAGGTGCTGTAATCCTAACGGACATTGTATTTTGGTGCATTATAGTCCCGTTTCTAACAAATGCACATCTTCAACTGAACCTGGTGAGGCTATCTAATTCCTTCTTCTTCTCTTTTTTTTCCCGTGAAGGAAATAGCACTATTGTGACACTATCTTCTGTTTTGTTTTTTGTTTTTTTCTCTTTGTTTCCCCATATATCTTAAGAATGTCATATGAAGTCTTCTAAATGCTTGAAATATCCACAATTGACACATGATACCAAGGTATTGCTAAGGGATAAGGGGTATGTGTCCAACACATCTAGTTTGACATTACCTAAGCTAAGAAGCAATATCCAATGATTAACTCTCTAATTATGTTCCTTCTGTATCAGTACTGCTTCAAGAATTTTGAAGTGCCTATGTTGAACATTTTACACACATACCCACAGTCGGAACAGAGTTCATGTATGATAACATCTAAATATCTAAAAGTGAACAACTGAATCGTCTGTATTTTTTTGTCAGAAATGGTGAAATATCCACAAGACAAACAAACTTTCGCAACAAAATGGAGCAGTGTTGACCATCATTATTAGTTTGTGTGTATGGTAGTTTTTTCTTTGAAGCCAGTTTTGCAATCTATCTAGGGAAATCCAAGAACTTTACCCTAATCCGTTTCATTTTATCTTCAATAAGAGTTCCACATGTTGTGTAAGAATAGTGTTAATGGTTGAGGGAAGTTCGTCTCATCAACTCCAAGTGCGATTTTTTCCACTTGTGCAATTGCAACTCTTAATTTTTTTTTCTTCTTTCTTTCTTTCTTTTTTTTTTTCGCATTTGTGTAATTGCAACTTGATGAAACTGGAATTGCATAGAAAATCCTGGAATGCAAATGTAGATGTCTCTTACCAAGTGATGTTCGTTTGTGGCCCAACTAACTTGATTTGACAAATTGTTATCAGCTGGTTCAAATTTATTTTTCTCCTAATAATCCCCTAATATGACAGTCAAGTTCTCACTTTGAAATTCTATCAGTACTATTATTATGGTGATTGCAGGATTGCCTATAACTTCATCTAATGCAAGACTCACTTAAAAGTGCTCTTAGTTAAAATCCGTTATGTTGTCTACCATTATGAGCTGCAACAAAGTTTAAGATCATCATTCAAAACCAGTTGTCTACTTGAATGTGATTATTATCTCGTGCAATGATTTTTTTTTTTTTTTTTTTTTTTTTCACTTCATTTTTATTTATGCATTTAATACTTCAATTCTACAAAACATCAGGATCGACTAATAGGCGTTTTATCAGTCTCATTTAGCACAACCTGGAAGTAATATTTAATTGTTTAGTATTTAGGATTGCCTGTATTTTCTGAGACATTTTTTAGCACCATAACTAGCTAATTCAATTATTAAAGCTTTCTTCACTATTCTACTTGATGTTATTATGATATATGTTTTTGATCTATACTTTGCAGTTGATGGGATGCATGCACACTCTGAATGCTGTTTTTCTTCTTCTTGATACCTCTGTTAATAGCCTTGTAAGTATTAATATTCAAAAGTGTATAGCCTATACTTCCTAGTGATCAGTATATGATTTATGGTTTTAATAATCATGTTGGGTACTTAACAAACAATAAATCAAGAGCACATATATAGTAGCAATATATTCTAGTTCTTTATATAGGTGAAGTTTTAGCCATATTGGATTTTCACATTACTCCAACCCTATTGGCTACAGAATACTTTCCAAAGTTAAGAAGGAAAAAAAAAAAAAAAAACTACAGCTGACACCTCATTATTGGAAAAGGCTAGAGAATTTTTTGCTTCCTTTTGTGTGTGTGTGTGTGTGTATACAAGTTTAATGATGCAAAATTGCTTGTTTGGCAGCCATTTCCTTGGTTCCGACTTTCATATTTCGTGCTCTGGAGTTGCTGCTATGTTATTTTCCAGTGGGTTATTCATGCTTGTGGTTTTCCATGGTAAACAAATAAATTACATTCCTTTCTATGACTAGTTTTGAAGAAGGTCTTTTTTTCTTTTTTTTTCTTTTCTTTTTTTCTTTTTTTTTTTTTTTTTTTTTTTTTTTTCATTTCATCTTTGGTTTCGCTCCAACTCCAAGATATGTAAAACTTAGAGAAATGTTTCTTGCAGGTGGCCATATCCTTTTCTTGAGCTTTCGACATCATGGGCACCTGTGTGGTAAATTGTTTACACCATCAGTATCCTTTTCTTTAGACCTACAGGTACATATGGAGAACCTAATGCTTGTTTTTGACCTACAGGTACCTATGCCTGGCTGTGGTTCACATCCCTTGTTATGGACTATATTCCTTGCTTGCAAGAGCAAAAAATTCAATTTTCTCTAGATTGTTCCCTCATGCATTTGTGAGGTCATATTAGCTTTTCATCTTTTGTTTGTTGTGCTGCGAAGTTGATTGTGTGCTTGTATATATAAAGGAGGGGAAAATTGTTGAAACCTATCTCCTCCAAGAATTATGTGGTTTACCAATGGTGTACTGAATTAAGATTGTGAGTTATGCAGTGCGGAAGCTGTTCGTTGATTTAATTGTAATTAACTCCTAAAATGACCTAGATGAGATTAATAGGTCAACTTGCCTAATTTTTGTGATTGATTAAATTACCTAAGCAATATGATCAATTAAACATCCACAAGCACAAAGATAAATACTGAAAAGTAAAACAAATAGAGTTAGAGAGATGGCACCAGAATTTTTAGAAAGGAAACCCTAATTGGTGTAGAATAGACCAATTGTTGTGGGAAAAATTTCGTGGACTGTGCAATCCTAAGCAAAACAATCCACTATGTATGAAACAAAGTACAATGGAATTTGACTTAGGCTCACACCCTGTCGTTCTACCAAAAATCAATTATAGACAATCATTTGGCTTTGCGACGTTCCACCCAGTAGCTCTTGATTTCAGGCTTACTCTTGATCTTTATAGAAGGATTGCTAGTAAATCAAATAAAACTCCTCGAATGCTTTGAACCTTGCAAAGTGTAATCGCTTCATCCCTTTTCTTCAAGATCTGAATTTAATGTAAAAGAAATAGATTTACTTTTCAGAATCTTTGAATCTTCAATTATACTCCAATTTCGATGAGATAGAGAATACCACAACTAAATCACTCGTGTATATATGTGTGTGTTCTCAAAATAAAAACAGAAAAATCAGATTTGATTTATTGAAAAATATCTCTCAAAATGCTTTCTCAAAATAATGAAATTTTGTTCCTTAAGCCATATCTCAATGTTGAATGAAAGAGAGATTATATAGAAGTTTGGAAGACTTCAAAATACTTGGAAACCAAGTCAAATTCGTGTATAGGATTTTGGAAGGAAGTTTAGACCAAAAAGGAATCCAAACAAGCCAGAAAGGTAAGTTACCAAAACATATCCAGACATCTTGAACCGGTTTAGGATTCTCCTACTGATTCAAGATGGCCAGTAAGGAATTCGAAAAATCCTTTTGATTCTTGAACCAGTTTAGGATCCTCCTACCGGTTCAAGATGGCCAGTCTTGAAAAATCCAAAAAACCTCATAATGTTGAATTTGTTCGAATAATCTTGAACCAGTTCAAGATGGGCAAAATGTAAACTTCCTAAAAATTTAAGTTTCAAACTTCCCAAGTGTTCTCACACACTCACATACCTTTCTAAAGCATTGTTCTCATCATCCCGGAATGTATTAAAGTTTGAACACTTAAACTTCTTCAAATCCGCTTTCGATCTTCAATCTTGAAATTCTGAACCAGAATTTTACAACTCGATTGGACTTGTTTTGAAAATGAAATTAGCCAATTGCAAAATATATATCTCACAATCTCCCCCCTTTGGCAATTTTGTGACAAAACCCTAAAAACAATATGTAATTTACCTAAGTAGAAAAAATAAATTACAATGATTGTCAAAAGTCAGTAAAAACGGAATTCCTTCTTAAACCACTTGAAGCTTCAACACATGTAGCGTCCCTAACCTATAATCAGTACATGAGCTCAACAAAACTACCCGTGAAGCTTAATCAAGAAAGATAACACAAGCATAAAATAATGCTTGAAAATCAATGCATAAATAAATACGATAATCCAATAATCAAGTGTTCTTCCTCTTAATACAAAAGTATCTCTCCTCCTGAAAGATATCAATTTCAACTCTCTCCCCTTTTTTGTCAAAAATTGACAAGGGTCTAAAGGGAAAAATATCCTAGAAGAAGGAAGCAACCAACCATATAGAACTTATAAACTGAATCCAATGAGATTATAGACTCCACGAGACTATATTAACAACACATATATAACCAAGATCAATTCATTTAAGTTCCACAAACTTAATAAGTGTAGTAAAATCACTACCAAGTTCTAAAACATATGATCTGTCAACTGTTTATATTTTAGACAATAAATCAATAATAACACATATCCTTATAAATCAAACAATTAACATGTGCAAAAGACCCCCTTTTTTTTTACTCTCTTTGTGCTCCATTTTTTTTTATTTTTTTATTTTTATTTTTTTTTTCACATATGACGGCTTTCACGCTTATAAGCAACTAGCTCTTTCCCTTATTCCCATTTTTTTCGATTCAATGTAGCTTCAGACAAATCCTAAAGGTAGCTTTTTTCCAACTCTTACATTTTTCAACAGCAATTATTTTTTACAAACTTTTCATTCTAAGCTTTTATTTATTTTTTTAATTCTCTTTTGGTTTAAACCACATAAAACAAGTTTAAATTTCAAGACAATGCTTAATCATGCCAACATCATCTTTGACCAAAATAATGACATCAAAAATAAGTAAATGTACTATCAATGATTCATTTACCATACGAAATAAGTAAGCAAAACCAATTTCATCAATTAATAACCATAGTATGTTTTACACATATAATCCACACAACAAGAAAAAAGGGCTTCTACGATGGCCCAAAAGCGCCGTGAAAACTTATTCACGGCGCATTATAGGCCATCTTGTATAAGGGTTCTGTAAATACTTAATTTTTTTTACGGGAAAAAATTTATCTCGTAGAAAAATAATAGATTCGCCGTAAAAAGTAATTTTGTTTATATATTAAATTTATTTACAATATGGATATTTTTCCATTAATAATTAACTTACGAAGCACCGGCGCATGCCGTAGAATAGTTTTCTACGGCGAATTGTAACTACCCGTAAATAAAATTTTCTACGGCAAATTATAACTACCCGTAAATAAAATTTTCTACGGCAAATTATAACTACCCGTAAATAATCTCATGAGACACCGACACATACCGTAGAAAAGTTTTCTACGGCGCGTTGTAAACCCGTAAATAATCTCACGAGATACCAAAGCATGCCGTAGAAAACTTTTCTAAGGTGAATTTTAATTACCCGTAAATAATCTCACGAGGTATTGAAGCATGCCGTAGAAAAGTTTTCTACGGCAAATTTTAGCTACTCGTAAATAATATCCTTTTATTTACGGGGTTTTAAGCTCCCCGTAAATAATATTTATAAAACAAGCACCCTTAATTAATGCCGGTTAATCAATCCTCCACTACCTGTAATTCACATCACTTTTCGCTATAATTCAATTCAAAAAATATATTAAAAGAGTTAAAATATTTTTACAATTCATCATTTATCAATGGGTCAAAACAATTCAACATTCATCAATGTTCTAAAACAGGAAGTAAATTCATTTGTCAAGAAAATCATCAATTTCCTAACAGTTCTGTTGAAAAATTGATAAACCTTCTTGCACTTGAGTTTCAGTCTGCACTTGTCAAAAAACCACCTCGCTGTACAAAATCCAAGGAAGGAGCTGCAAAATCTACGGTACAAAATCCAAGGAAGTAGCTGCAAAATCTACGGTACAAAATCCAAGGAAGTAGCTGTATCACACAAGTCTCAAATTCATGATGCTAATAAAAAAGGGAAAGAACAAGATTATCATTTATAAATCAAATACAAACATTTTGCTAAGAATTTCTTCCTCAAATCTGCCAAAAATATTTCAAGCAGGTAATTTTCCTTAATTGAATACTAGATTTTTGCAAGGATGTATGAGAACAGACAATATCACAATCTCTTTATATTCATGAGATAAAGAGAATACATGTTTTAGCCGACTCGAACCATAAATTTAGGATTGTATTACACTTAGTGATCAGATGTCCATGTCATTTTTGAATCACCTGACTAATTACTCAGTGTACAAGTTTTGTGTATTAATAATATATTCTTTGTTTTCTTTTACAATAAATTACCCACAATGCAAATAATTAAGCTTCACTTAACTAGGTTGATAATGGTCTATGTAGTCTAAAAACACTAACCAGATGCAAAAAAAACCCTCAAGAAATCAAGTGCAACAGAATGTGATTATGGGACCTGATTTAAGAAATGGATTTTGAGAACTTACATTTCTATATTGTTCTATAAGAAAGATGATATTCATAGTTATGATTCCAAATCACTATTTTTGTGTGAGTTATTTTAATGTTTAATTATGTAACTACATTAACTCATTGATAATACAAGAACCTGCTTGTTGGTTGTTGAAACAGATGTTCTACAAGTAGGCAAAAAAGACCAACCAATACTGTACAATATTTTAAGATTTTAAAGCACAGAGACTACGCTACCATGGCAATCACTTGTTCTAGTGTTAAATATGATGGTTCACACAAAGATGGTGGTAGTTGTTTATATCATTTATTTGTTGCTCGCTTGCCAGAATTTATGGATTTTACCCTCTTGTATCTTTGCTATCGGATTGAAGAAATGGAAACCGACTGATACAGACAATGTATTCCTTGTTATAATACTAGTATACTTCCCTGTTCACAAGGAATGTTACCTTTATTTATTTTATTTTGGCACTGCTTTATCCCCTCTGAGGCAGTAAAATTGACTTGGCTCTAAATTAAGATAGCCATATACTTTCTGATTTGTTATCAAATAGTTGATATGTTAAGACTTCAGTGATTTAGCTTGCATTACTATGTCAGTTCAGCGTATCATATTACTTGTTCTAGAATACTCCCAATTAGAAGACCTTAGTTACCTGAAAAATACTGAGTAGTTTACGGTAAAATTTGAGGGTTCATTACTTCAATTTGTTGTGTATTAAAAAAAGAGACATTAGACTTGTGAAGACAAATATGATAGTTACTATCTTAACCAAGATACAAAGAAAAGGACGATTCTATTTAATGTCTTTGTGTTTGTGTTGACCAGACTAGTTGAACATACATTTCTATAGATAGATGTCAATAGATTAAATATGGTCACTCGAGAAATCTGACGATAGAAATATAGACCATGGTCTCTGGTCAACCTGAACAAAATATATCTCCCATGCCATTGAATTTTCAGTCGGGAGAAACGACAAATTTCATTTGAAAAATTTATTGTAAATATAGATATGAATGCTAGCAGCTTAATGTCGACGGCTTATGTGAATTATGGGAAGAAGATGGATGGGAAAATCCATACAAGGAGACCAGAGAGCAAGGCCACAGAGACGACTAAAGAGGTCCTTTATTTAGGAACAACATTGTGTTGTACATTTGGTAGGAAATAGTTGTAAACTTGGGTGGAACAACATTGTGTTGTACATTTGTTAGTGTACTCAAGTGAGCTAACTTATTTTCATTGTTTAATTCACTCTATATAATTCCATTCTCTTTTCTGCAACTGTTTGAGTTTGCTAACACCCTGATCCACTCTATTTCCCATCATCATCCAAAGTAATGACTCGCATTATTATTCATATTGTATACTGAGTTATGGAAGAAAAAGAAAAACGATTTTTTATTTATTTACAAGGGAGTGAAAAGTCACAATGCACCCAAATTATCAATAAAAATTACGAGGTGCACGCCATTCAGAGTTAGAAGTATGGATTTTCACCTCGAGAGAGATATTTACGAGGTGCACGCCATTCACAGATATATTATCTCCAACTTCAAATTTTAAAATAACATGACAAGATTAAACTTAGAACATCTTTCTTTTCACAGACTATCTTAAATACAAACTCTCATCTTGTAAAACAATATCTATATACCACTTCTTTTTTCTTTCTTTTTTTAATTTATTTTATATATAGATAAACTATGGATTCAACACCAATATCAACATAGCATGAAGTTCATTATCCTCATCTATTGTGCAGCCCAATATTGAACCCAATTCACTAGCATTACTAGACCTAAGCAATCCTTCGTGCATAAAAATAATAAATCGGAAAGCAGCAAAAATGGTCACTTAAGGCACGTGACCCCTTATATACCATAATATGCAATGAATGAAAACCAAACTCCATCCGCAATAATTTCCCAACCTCCATTTATGTACAATAATAATAAAAAAAATGGCCACTTAAGGCACGTAATCCCCTATACACTGTAATATGCGATGAATGAAAACCAAACTCCATCCGTAATAATTTCCCGACCTCCATTTATGCACAATAACAATATAAAAAAATGGCCACTTAAGGCATATGACTCCCTAAAACAATCAACTTTTTAAGCACATAATGCATTGCCATGGTGATAATAAAAATAAAGAAGCATAGTATTTGACCTTTGTTGTAGACTGGAATAATAGAAATTCTGATTCTTCTACTCCTAATGAACTGGTGATAATCAATCCTGTAAAAAAAAAAAAAAATTTAAAAATATATAATGCCAACAAATACATAAAAAATCAGATCGCATGACTAATTTAAGAAATATAATAATAAGTTAATGAATGACTAATTGACCTGAATAATTTTCACATATTTCACACGATGTCAAAGTGTTGGTGCTTTGCAAAAGGCATAAAATCTTTTTCGGATGGCCCGCATTCGCTTGCGCCAGATCAGCAAACCTCCATGCTCCTTTTAAATACTTTGGATTAACTCTATAAAATTAAAGCTTCAACATTTAATGAAACATAAAATTAGTGTAAACAATATTACCTTTTATAAGCACACTCCACTACATATAATAACCTGTAAGTCATGTGCATCAATTCTTTATCCATCACTATTTGCTTAATTATTTTGTCTAGTAACCTATCACAAAAGATAAAAAAATTTGTCAAAATTCTAGCAAGTAGAATATATGACTATATTCATGATAATGTGAATAAAGGTAGAAAAGGGTCTTTTCAAAGAGTAAGTTGGTAATGAAATAACTCCTCTCTTAGATTGTAGAACAAATAATTGATATATAGTATAAATCTTATTAGCACTTAACTTTATTAGGTGGTCTATATATGCATTTTGTATTGAAAAGGCAGAAAAGGGTCTTTGCTATGTTTGATCATTCCTGGTAGAAGATATTAAAAATCTGGAGTTCAACAACAATCCCCTATTATTATTAAAGCTTCTCAAATTGCAAGGCAGATTTTTTGAATGTGTCATATTCTCTTGGTGTTCGTTGCAAACCCTACTGCAAATGTCTAGTATTTGAATATTGGCCTGCTAAAGATCATCTGTTTGGTTTAAATAGGAGGGGCTGTTGTGTTTTTCTTCAGCATTTCTATGTGGTTTCGCCTTTCATTTATTATTTTAGCCTATCTTGTCTTTTAACACATTAATAGGCCATGTCTTATTGACGGCCAATAATACATCAAGCTTGCATTCAAGCTAGGAAATACTCTAGTCCATATAATTCTATGAAAGAAAATTTTAAATCCTCTTCATGGTCATTGGCCAACGGCAAACATAATTAAAAGATAAGGGCTATAATGACAGAGGAAAAGGAGGAACCAAAAGCAAATCCGGGAAGAAAACTTAATTTCTTTTAGCAACAATGATATGACACAGACCTTGTAACACCAAGTGGATGTGGCAATGACTTTGTCCTGGGAGGTGTTGGGCCAAGAAAAGGGCTGCAAAAGAATGCAAGAAGTAAATTCGAATATTAAAAACAAAAGATCAAAACAAATCCACAAGAGTCTTTCTACACACTTTGAAGCTGTGGAACAAGGGAATCTGAAACCACAAAGCCCTTTCAAGTGAAAAATGAGAATCAAAAACAAAGCTTCTTCTGCAAGTTCTCAACTGATTAAAAAAAGTAAAAACAATAATAATATAAGACAAAATTAGACTAGCAACATACAATATAGGGAGACTAACTAGAAAGTGTAGTAAACTTGTAGACACGTTGAAGATCATTAGAATCACTCGAAGTCTACTCCCAAACAATTGTTATGAGAATAAACTTCAAGATCCCTCCCTCTTCTTACTAATAATGATTAAAAACAAGAGACAATTTTATTTTCCTTACATAAACCAATTCAGATTGTGTCATTGGCCCCTTAAGCCAAAGCCTGAAAGCCTTATTTAATCCATTAACAATAATACATGTTTTAACCTTATGCATCAGCTCAAAATGTAATACAACAATCACCAAGATCGATCAACATTCTTACAGTTTGACAAGACTACTAATGCATTTGCATGGAAGATTAGCAATGAACTGCTATGCCTGTTTTGTCCATTAAGAGATGGGGATGATAGATTCTGGTCATCCAATCATTTTAACTATATCTTTACAGAAAATTTCAAAGTCCATAGCTTGTGTGTATGTGTGTATATATAAGAATATAGAAAATTAACCAATGTGAAGACAGCAAATAATCCTGCTAATTATTAATTTATCCTTTTAAATTTAAATAAACATATTACCAATTTGAAAGATTTTGAAAATTTAAATGTCACAACCAATCTAAAAGAAAAATATGGACTAAGAGACCATAAGCTATTGGGACATTACCAATCTTGCAATGGGACAGTGTCATGCACAGTGGGGAATTTAATTAACCAATAAGTTAATAACCAAGTAATTTTTCAGCGATCCCAAACACAACATAGGTAACTTTTCTAGACGGTTATCCTTTCCAACCTCCTACTATCGTATTCGTCAACAGGATTAACCACCCAAATGTGTCTGTTGAGTGAGTTAGTGGATGCAAGTAACTCAGTATTTCAGATTGTTTGGATATCAGTATCCCCTGAAAATTTCTAGCTAATTTTGGTCTTGAAGTATTACACGCATGCAAGCAATATTATTAATTAAGAGAAAATTCTTTAAGGACCAAGAAAATTTCTAATTTCTAGCTAATTTATTGTTTTCTCGGTAGCATATAAATTAAGTGGTAAAATTTTGAGACTGTAATTTTTTATTTTTTGGTCATATTTCTAAATTATCAACCAACCAGTCATTTATTGAGGTGAATTAGAGAAAATAATTCATAACATGTGGATGAGTTGTGGTTGGAAGATGATCAAAATTTAACGTGGTTATATTAGATTACATGGAATTGAAGATTGAAATTAAAATTAATGAAATTAGAGAAAAATAAGTTAAAAAGCAAATTATTACTCAGGAAAAAAAAAAAAAAAAATGAAGATGGATGCAATACAAAGCATAAAGGGTGTGGAATATATAAATTGTGAAAGATAATACATGCATATTATTTTCAGCCTCAAAATCAACAAAAAAAATAAGCCACTTAGGCTAGAAAGATGTTATGTCACGGTAAGGCATATTTTTGTTGGCAATAAGTTTCAGATTATATTCAATTACAAAGATGCCAACAATGTTGTGGGTTAAGGTCTGTAGCTTTAGGAAAAAAAAAAAAAAAAACACACACACACACAGGGCAATAAACTTCTCTGACCTCACTCACTGAAATTTAAATTAAATCCATGGTTTTGAATGGTTGGCTCCTAAAAATTAAGGCAAATCCAAAAGACTCCCTTGTCCAAGGCAGAAAGTTAAAAAAAAAAATAAAAAAATAAAAAAAAAAGACCTTATCTAGTGTGATACAATGTTAACAACTATGGTCCAAAAGTTTGCACGTCTCGGTAGTTCAGTGGGTTAGTGCCTCCGGTGAATTTCAAAGTGTCAGGCTTCGACTTTCTTCATCTACTAATCTAACTTCTAACCCTTATTGCCTTATAAAAATAAAAAAAATAATAGTTTAAATCATTAAAAATGATGTAACTCTAATATTTAATTTCCCTAACACTTACACGGCCTTTTACCTGGTAAAAGGTGAATAGTTTAAAAGTAAAAGATATATATATATATATAGAAGAACAAAGGGGCTTACGGCAAGGAAACCAACCACAAAACTGGAGAAATGTCTTGGCCTAAATTTGTTTGTACTTGGGTAAGAGGACCAATGTGAACAGCACCAAGCAACCAAGGAGTGCCAGTCAGAAAGATCAATGTGAACGTTGGAGAGGAGCTAAAAGGGCAGAGAAAGAAGAGATAGTTATGGCTTTCTACCGCATTGGAAGACCGAGAACATGATGTTAGGAAAGTGTAGAAAGGAGAGAGTTCTAAGATCTGCTTAGTTTAGTTTTCTACAAACAATTCTCAAAAACTCAAAAAGCTATTTTCAGATCAACTATAAAAGAGAGATTTCTGTACAATATTCAAAATCTTCAGTTTTTATATAAAACCGTTTTTAAAAAATTGAACGGAGCTCTAAAAAAATGCAAAAAATTAACATTTTAGAAAATTGAACCAAGGTGGCCTACTTTCTCTAAGGGAAAGCTTGGTAAGATCGAGGCATATGATGGAAGAAATTAGTTGTTTAGATTACCAACGGTGGTTCATTTGGTTAGATTACTTTTACCAGACTTTTGCTTCTTTCTACTAGGATTTATTCTCTTAATATCATCATAACTAAATGGCTGGAGCAAAGGAATGAACAAATTTGAACAAGAGTTCTCCTATTAATTATGAGTGAATCATTTGAACAACTTGAACAAATGAACAAATTTGTAAGACGCATTCTAAATGGCCGGGGAACAAGTAAAAGGGAAAAGGAATGAAACACAACAACATCAATAAATAAAGCGGTTCTGCAACTACTAGTGTCATAAATTTACTAATTTAACGAAATTTATCATAACCTCAGTTTGTTGTCATTTTTATTCTTAGATGCATAAAAACACAACAACATCAATAAATAAGGTGGTTCTGCAACTACTAGTGTCATAAATTTCAAAGCATGAAAAGTGCTAAAATGTTTGTCATGTTTCTTTTGACCAACTCATATTCAAGAAATTAAATACATCTCCCCAAAACCCCATTAAAAAAATATATAGAAAAAGAACAAAAAAAAAGGAATATGAGAAGTTAAAAATGTAAAGGCATTCAGTGTGTGAGGGAAAAAAAAACAAAAGAAGGTATTGCCTATTGAAATATTTTATTGATAAGAACAAACTTCAATTCGATAACATCATCAAAAATAAACAAATGCTCAAATGCTGAATCATTTCAAAATTGGAACACAACAACAACTTAAAAACAAAGAGCTAATCAAGGGACCAGGGGCATTAAAAAAAATAATAAAAAAATATTATTGCAATGATAAATAAATAAAATTGACAAGAACCTTCCACCACTCACTTACAATTTACTATTTGTTTTAATTAGTAAATGGTACTTCAAATTACAACTGATCTTGTTTTTGGTTTTAATATTTTGGTTACATGTTGGATTAATAAATAAAAAAAATAAAAATTACAAAATATTGTAGCTGGCACTTAATGAAGGGGTTGGTTCACCCATCTTGTAACAAAAGCTAGTTTAGGCCAATAAATACGGCAATACCTACCAAGGCTACTTCTTTTCTTCCGAGAGAGTAACTGTAAACAGCCTAGATGGAGAGAGAGACTGTAAAGAAAACAAAAACTAATATGAGCCTTCCAATCGGATTTTATAAGTTAATCCTTTGCTTCCGAGACAGAAACTGAGCAAAAAAAAAAAAAAGGCAACACTCCTGTTGGATACCAGAATCGGACGTAACTAATATGATTTATTTTCAAAGTGATTTCACGCTTGGAAGGCTCATATGAAAACAAAAACTCGAATAACATCCTAATTCCTATAGAACGATGGAAAGGATGAAAGTAACAGAGAGGCAACTGTAACAAGGTATGTACCGTCGTCCATGGTGGCTCTCTTCAACTTCAATTTTTGGTCGCTAGTTGAAAACCCTAACCTCTTCACTGGTTGCTTACGAAATGATTGACACCATCGGGATTCCAATCTGAGAAAGACGAGTTTAGGAAATCAAGCTTTCTTTCCTCAAATTACTGCCATTAACATGGTTGAAATCGATAGATGAGATATTCGGGTCTGTCTCTTTCCACCCTCGTTGAAGCTTAATCTGAATCCTAAGGGTGTGTTTGGATAGTATTAGTAATGAGAGAAAAGAAAAGAAAAGAAAGGATAGTATTAGTGAGAAAAGAAAAGAAAAGAAAAGAAATGATAGTAATAATTTCTATTTGTGTTTGGATAGATAGGAGAGAAAAGAAAAGAAGTGATAGTTATTTTTGTTTGGATAAGATAGAGGAGAGAAAAGAAAAGAAAGGATAATAGACAAATTACTTTTTTACCCTTTTATAACCATGGGACTTGAATGGAATAATAAATCTGTCTATTGATTTGTGGAGGCTAATTTTGGTATTATCAAAATACCACTAAAATCACTATTCTTTCTCTCACTATCTCTCCCTATCTTCTCAATTTTGAGGAGAAAGCAAATAAGAGATAGGGAGGGATAGCTATCCCTCCCTATCTCTCCTTATCCCTCCCTATCCTTCCACTTAAGTTACCCAAACACAAAGTTACATTATCCTCTCTTTTCTTTTCTCTCCATATCCCTCCAAATCAACCCTACCAAACACACCCTAAGTTTTTTTTTTTTTTTTTTTTTTTTTTTTTTTCCAGAACTCTCCACGGAGTGGTCCTTACGGACTCCACCATGTGGCACCAAATTGAAAATACTGCAGCCAGCCCCACAGGTTAGTGGACGAAACTAACAAGCTTGATAGAGTACTCGAACACTGGCGGCTAGTGTGACAGTCCCAAGCCCCCACCATCACTGCTAGCCCGCCGGGGGCCTGAATCCCTAAGTTCTTTGTTTTTTTTGGTATATATATTTAAAGTGATTTTATTTATTGTGTCTATTTAGTTTACTGGGAAGTGAAAAATTTTTGGTGGGGAGTGAAATTTTTTTGTCGGGAAGTGAAATTTTTTTTATTGTTTATTTACGGGGCAAAAAAGATGCCTTAAATGTGAAATTTATTCATAGGCTCTTTAATACACTGTAAAAAAACTTAAGTTTATTTTTGTTTCTCCTGTATATATTTTTTAAGTGAAAAAAGTTTTATTACTTATTTATGAGGCAAAAAAAATGCCTTAAATGTGAAATTAAATCACGGGCTCTTTAATATACCGTAAAAGAACTTAAGTTCATTTTTTCTTTTTTCATGTATCTATTTTTTAAGTGGTTTTATTAATAGTTGCTTATTTACGGGCAAAAAAAATGCCTTAAATGTGAAATTGATCAACGGGGAACATTTATCCTGTTAAAGGTATATAAATAAGTCATAAATATATCTAAATATTCACGAGCTCTTTAATACACCGTAAAAATATTTTTCTACAAGGATTCCACTAAATCCTTATGAAAACATGTCCTATAATGTAACAATTACGAGGATTCTTTTATAAACTTCGTAAATGGTGGTAATTACGAGGCAAAATAAAAAAGCCCCGTAAATATCATGTCGTAGAAGCCTACATTTCTTGTAGTGCCATGTGTCATTTGTCTCCTTGTGTTTAACATACTCAATCAATATGGTTTGCTTAATTTTTCTAAAAAAAATAAAACTAAGCTTCAACAAACTAGAATCATAATCTAGACAATCAAGATATGTATAAAGATAAATCAAGACAACAAACGCCTATAAATTTCCTAAGATGAGAAAACTTAGGAAAATCTAATGGCTTAATGAGAGTGTCATCTAAATTCTAATCAGTATCCACTTTTTCCAAAGACACGACATTTTGTTCAACAAGTTCCGTAAGAAAATGACGTCGAATGTCAATGTACATAATCCTAGAATGCAAAACTGGATTCTTTGAAATATTAATTGGACTAGTATTATCATAAAAGATAGCAATAGTACCTTGGTCAACTCCACAATCTAGAAGCATCTGTTTCATCTAAAGCAATTGTGTGCAACAACTTCCAGCAGATATGTATTCAGCCTCACAAGATGATAAGGATATATAATTTTGTATCTTACTTTACCATTAAACAAGATTAGTACCAACATGGAAACAACCACCTGAAGTACTCTTTCTATCATCCTTGTTACCAGCCCAATCAACATCTTTATAGCTTACAATCTCAGAGTTAGACTCAGAAGAATAACGCGCAATCCATAATTCAATGTACTATTGATATAACGACTAATGTGCTTGACTGCAAAAGCGTGTTTTTCTCTAGGATCAACTTGATACCTATCACAAACACCTACACTAAATGAAATATCTGTCCTACTAGCTGCCAAATACAACAAACTACCAATCATACTCCTAAACAAGGAAGGATCAACCTCTTTAGGATCAGAGTCTCTATCCAATTTAGATGAAGTACTTATAGGAGTTTGCACATGCTTTGAATCTTGCAAACTAAATTTCTTAACTAGCTCATTTGCAAACTTTGTTTGAGATATGAAAATCCCATCATCAAGTTATTTCACTGGAGACCTAGAAAGAAAATTAGTTCACCAACCATGCTCAAATCAAAAGTATTATTCATATTTCTAACAAAATCATGAACAAGGTTATCACAAGTAGCACCAAAAATAATATCATCCACTTAGATTTGAGCAACAAGAAAATCTTTTCCTTTCCTGAAAATAAACTATGTTTTATCCACTCCCCCTCTTTTAAAGCTTTTGTGCATTAGATAAGAAGCTAACTTCTCATACCATACTCTAGGTGCTTGCTTTAAACCACAAAGAGTCTTTTTAAGATGAAAAATATAATTAGAATTATGTGGATCAATAAAACCTTTTGGTTGTGATACATAAACTTCTTCCTACAAAATACCATTAAGAAAAGCATTTTTTACATCCATTTGAAATAATTTTATTTTAAAGTGACATGCAAGAGCAAAAAGAAGACAAATGGACTCAAGTCTTGCAACAGGTGCAAAAGTTTCATCAAAATCAATTCCTTCAACTTGAGTATATCCTTGTGCAACTAACTTAGCTTTATTTCGCATCACAAGACCATGTTGATCAAGTTTATTTTTAAAGATCCATTTGATCCTTATAATATTAACATCACTAGGTCGCGACACCAATTCCCAGACATCATTTTTCATAAATTGAAGCAACTTTTCTAGCATGGCCGTAAGCCAATTAGAACTTTAAAGAGCTTCATCAACATTCTTTGGTTCAAACTAAGCCATATGACATGAGTGTCTTATATCATCTATAATGCATGAGTGTCCAAAATGATAACTACGGACTGTACTCCTACTACTCGGTCTATCCCATGAACCTATCACATTGTCAACTAGATGACTCAATCGACCCCTAGAACTACTAGATATGGGAATGTCTAAAGAAGGTGCAGGAATTCCTGTAAGTTTATTAGTGGTGACCTCTAATTCCTCATCAACATCCTCTTAAACCTCTTCACCTTCTCCACCTAAATTCTCAACTCTTTTTTCCTCATGAACTATAGGTTCTTTTCTGTCTCTTACAATTTCAAAAGTAGTCTCCTCCTCATCAAGTTGAGTAGAGATTACCTTAGGCCTTGTATCATTAAATATAACATTTATTGACTCCATAACAACTTTTATGACGGCCCAAGTTTTTTAACCCGGTGCGTCAGTGATGAATAGAAAGTTGACCCGGTAACGGATCCGAAATGCGGAAGCAAAAGGTGAAACCAAAGTATTTAGAGATATAAACCATCTCTAAGACACCAATGTGACCTTCCATGAAGTCACGAAGTTCAAAGAGAACGAAAGCGGAAACAAAAGGTCAAAACGGACAAAAATCGTAAACCAAGGGGCAAAATGGTCAACTCACAAAAAAAAAGAGAAACTTGACTCTAAGCAAGTCAAACAAGGTGAAAACAACCCAAAAGAATCATTTCACAACATTCCAAGAGGTTCTAAGAACATTGGACAAGAATTCCACAAAATGCCCCTTCCCAGTTGAAGTGAAAACTGACACTACTTCACTAAAATATAAATATCTCCCATTTTGTTTGGAATCTGAGAATAGAATTGATACCATTGAAAATCTGACTCAAAATTCATGAATTTAGGCTCAAGAATCACCCCATTTGGATTTAAAACGAAGGAGTTATGACCATTCAAAGTCGGAAGAACAGTGCTGAAACTGAACTGAAGCTGTGCTCGGGATCTATCTATTTCAGTTGACCGAAATGAGCCATCGGACGACCGAAATGAACAAAATTTATGCTAAACACATGTTTTTGAGGTGTGGTTACTTCGGTAGACCGAAATGAACCATCGGTCGACTGAAATGGCCCTGAACAGTAGAAATGGCTACTGGAAATGGGTTTTTGAAGTCCAAACAATTACCAAAAGCTATCGGTCGACCAAAATGAAGCTTCGGACGATCAAAATGACTTGAAAAGGCACAAAAACACTTGTTATGCACAAGAAATGTTGAAGCTTCACCCAAGCCTCGAACCCCAACATGAATGTGGATCAAAAACAAGATTTTAAGCTATATAAGCATGCTCGCAAGTGTACTTTACATATTGAAATGTATTACAATGGCCTATGGCCTCATTACATGTCATTTACTCAATTTCACATGCCAAACCTCAAAGTTGGAAAAACTCAATTTCACATGTCATTTACATGTCATTTTAAAGGCAAAACTTGGAATTTAAGTACATACACTTAAGATTTAAAGTTTATGGCCCTTGGCCTCATGTCGTACATATCAAATAGATCCCAGTTAGTGTATCTAAGTACACTTAACACATAAAAAGGCAAAAAGAGCATGTTGAACCTAACTAACTTTTACAACATCAAAAGTAAGACTTAAATATGCTGACACTTGCATGTGAACAAGAATGCTTTGAAAGAAACTTCAAATCTCTAAACCATCAAAGATAAATGCCAATCTCCATATCTTGAATCCTGTACCTGAAATATGCCCCAGTAACTTTGGGGTGAGCAACATAAGGCTATTTGTAGGAAATGAGCATGCATCGACCTACGTTTTACAATTTCATCACCTTAAGGTGAAACATATTAAAGGGCTCATGCCACCAAACGTCTACGTCAAGATGAGACTCAGGGAGCATCCTAAGCTACCCTAGATCAATTCTAAACCACATTTGAACATATAAGGCATAATATACTTAACAACATCAAAGTTCACAATGATTCACTAAAATCATAAAACATAGATGTGCTTAACAATATCAAAATGATTCACTAAAATCATAAAACATAGATGTACTTAACAACATCAAAATGATTCATTAAAATCATAAACATGGATGTACTTAACAACATCAAAATCACCAATAACCAAAACCACAAGTCACAATAT